AAGTTGTTGATGTCATCTTCGGCATTGTAGTCTAGGCTAGATAGGATTTGCCATCTGTAGCATCGGCGCCGAGCGCCAGATAGGATATCAACATTGGTTCTTCATTGATGATGATGACGAGACTTTACCAGCATTGTCAATTATGAGCTCTTGGTGTTTTCTTATTTGGTGAAACTCGTGATGCAATTCTGCTGTTGGTTCGAGGTCACGACTATCTGGTCTTGTGTATATGATGTAGTTTGATTGCTGAAGTTCGCTATTGCTCATCTTCCTTGCACACTGTTGGTCTAATTCGGTGGTTTAAGAGGTGTTTGAGGGGTCGGGGGATTCTTTTTTTTTTTTTTTTTTTTTTTTTTTTTTGCCTAGGGCCACATGTTCCGGACCCCGCGCATCAATTCCGTTTTTTCGAAAAGCGTGGGAGCGGCCTATTTTCGCGTTTATCGCGAATTCAACGGGATTTTTTAGAATTTAACGGGATGCAACGGGAGTTTAATTCCCCCGTTCTGCGTTAAAAAGATACACAGCCGTCTCGCGCTGCTTTTCGCGCCTCTTTCTTTCTCGCTCTTCAACCTTGGCTCACGAAGCCCGGATGATCCCCCGATTACTCTCGCTCACCAATCAGACGCGTTGAGCAAGAGGATCTTCTTGTTGCGCGACGAATTTAATTAGTTGAACATTGAGTTCCGAAGGATCAATATGGCTTCCCTTGAGCACCCCTCGCTTAATCTTCTCCTCTTACACCTCGATCTACCCTCTGTCTTCTCCCCCGTCTTTCTTCTCGTTCGCAACTATAAATTCCGCAAGCGCGCCCGCAAATCTCTCTTACGTTTTCCACTCGCAAACCAGCTTCCGGGAAGCAGTGGCTAGGTGATGCATTTTGGTGTGAGTCGAAAAGTCCTGTCAAGCTGACTGTACGCCGGCCGGTTGCGCGCTTGATCGCCACGACGGACTGTGGGATCCGGACGAGCCGAGTCGAGTTTGCGTCAGCGGGGTGACGATCGCAATGGCGGAAGTTAGCACGCGACGGTCGGGATCATCGGTGCGGGTATGAGGATCTGTAATTGGAGTTGAGTGGATGATTGGTCCAGGGTCATACTGGAATTTTAACGGCGAATGCGCCTTCATGGTTGCGGATCATTTTTTTTGGTGTGAGTTCATGGCTGTGAAACCGAATGTTTCCTTGTCGAATTCCGATGTCTCTTGTCTCGACCTTTCTCGTCTATCTCTCTCATCTCTCTCTCTGATTTGAATGACGATGTGTTTGTCTCTCCGGTAAACCGGTAAACCGGAGTGAACTCTTGTAAAGAAGAACTTCCGGAACTCTTCCATTAGTTTCCTGGGTAATCCCCGCATGCCAAAGAACTCAATCATCTTGTTTTGTGAACGGAGGATGTGTGTGTACAATCCCCCGATTTATTTCTGACATGTACACCGTTTGTCATTTTCGCGCCTTCCACAGTGGATTTATGTATAAAGATGCTTGTATTTTCACGTTGATTAAACCCAGAGCTCAACGGGATTTTGTTCGAGAATGCAAGAGTGTTTAGATCTGTCGTTCTGAATGCACAGCGCGCATGCCATCTGCCTTATACGACACGGCATCTGCAAACAGTCTATGGGGCAGCCTCGAAAAAGCGAGGCGCCTAGGGCTTTGTCAAGGCTGGTCTATTGAAACTAAGTCGCGGGTTGATCTCTTGAAACTTCAACTCGATTATTGCATGGTTGAACGAACTCTGCAGCATGTTTCTCCCGTGTCAAAGGGAAGGAAAATACTAATTAGTTCTTTTTCGATTGTGCTTTTTGATGACGTCTCGGGGTTTTTACAAGCTCATTTTGATTGATTGATATGTGGACTGCCGATCGTACCTCGATCGGGCGCCAGCCTCCTGTATCTCCCTCACCAGCGCGTCCCTTCCCTTACAACGAGGAAAGGACACATGTCTGCGAGTGGGACGTACGAGAAGCTGTCGCACGGATCGGCGGACAATATTACTTCCCTCCCAAAAATCGTTGTTCTGGATTCGTGGATGCGGGTTTTGTCATTATCGATACGCACATCCCACCTTACTCAGTGCTGTTGCCATTTAACGAGTTGATCGTCATTCCATGGACGTCAGTGGCGCCCAATTGGCCTCGAACCCTGTGCACTGAGTGCCAGCGTTTCGACCGCTACGAATCAAAGGGCTTCCACTACCGGATACGGAGTGAAGACGAGCACAAGGAAAGAGCCACGCGGTTGAGACCATCCACGTCGGACTCGGAAGTGACCAACGAGCGACGTCGGGACTCGATATGAAAACGGGACATGCGAAGTGTACCGAAGCCCTTCCGCTCTAAACGAAGATACATAGCACGGTGGGAAGTTCGACAATACTTTTTGGATTGAATTCGTATTTTCCTGTTTTCGCGCCGAGCCCGCGCGCGCATTCCGCGACAGGCGAAAGCAACCTACTTACTTCATCGGGCCAACACGGGGGATTTCAATTCTGTCTGTGTCCCCACACTCAATTTTCCAAAAAATCCTTGGCACACCCCATCTCGCTGTTTTTCTGGGCCTTCTTTTTCACCCTTCGCACTCCGAACGAAAGACAGCGCAGGGCGTGAGGTTGCGCGTCACAGCCACTCAGAAAACTTCAGCACTTTATTATTCTCTATTGAAACCAAACTTTCCCTGTTTGCCCAGGTTCTGCAGAACCAACTCCGTCCTTGTCCTCTGCTTGCTCCCAGCCATTTTGATCCATCTTACACCACCAGTACGATTCCCAAACATTTCCCCCAAAGCAGCTGTACCAGTGCGACTCCCAGACATTTCCCCCCAACGCATCCGTATGTTTCAGGGGTCTGCCCACCCAGCAAGATGGATGGCGCAAAAAAAGGCCAGCGCCACTTCATTTCTTTTTAGTGCACAGGGCGAAAGAAAGCCTGCCTCGGTTCATTTCCTTTTGGTGCACGGGGCATTTCCAGGCTTGGCAAGGGAAGGGTCAAAAGCACTGGTGGTTTAATGTGAGCATTTGGTACACGGCAAAAGAAGGCCTGCCTCGGTTCTTTTCTT